GGTGTACAACGAAAAGGAAAACAGAGCACTATAGATAAGTCCTAGAATAATTATGTGCTTAGGGTGATTTAAGACACATTAATATCATTTATCCTACCTTGACCCTAGTCATACATTAGAAGCTTATAAAGTCCTATTGATCCCTAGCTTTGTATTAGTCTACATTAGTGGAGAGAGAGATGAGAAGTAAACCTATGGAGTTTTAGTACTAATTTAAAATTTCTGTTGGTATAAATTCATCTGGATACCTTGATATTCTTGATAAAAGATTTCACATATACACGAAAATCTATTCGAGAATGTGCTTGCATCGGAATTGAAATATGAATTTGAATGTTGCCTATATTTTGCCTTAAGTTAATAATTGATAGACATACTTTTGAGGAAATTATGAAGAATTATTGAGTTGATGCACTTTATCTCTAGTAGTTGTAGTAGTAATAGTAACTATATGTTTTTTAGTTTTCATTAACTAAATTTATTTTTTTGTAAGTTAGTTTCTTTTTCACGTTTTGCTCCAGGACTAACAAAATATTAAGTTTTGGGGTGTGATAACTCTATGATATAGAGTTATTTGGATTTAATTTTGATAATAATTTAGCTTAATTCTTGAAGTAATGCATAAAAATTAGTAAGTTTTATTTAAATAAATTTAAATTAATTAATTTAAGTGAGTCAATCTAATCTTAGTTAATTTTATGCTTAATTTGGTTAAGATAGGTTGTTATTGATTTATTTGTGCTTTGGTAGATATTTGATGAAAGGAGAATTTTAGTGGAAGAAAAAGAACAATTTTAAGGTGTAGACTTCCATTGCACATGTTTTGGTATTTCGACCATAACTCTCTTTACAAAGCTCTAAATGAGATGGTTCTTAGACCCATGGAAATATAAGAGAAAAAACTACAACTTTCACTACTTCTTCCAATTCGGCATGGAAGATGATTAAAAATCTTGTCAAAGTTGGAGTATTGTAGCAATCTTAGAACAATTATGATTTTCGCTATTTAAATGGTTAAGATCGTAGCTTTGGAGGAGGTCAACCGCATCTCGCGTAGTTTGATGAGGAAATCTTGATTGAAATTGACTTATTTCTTCATCTAATTTGGCCTAACTTTAAAGCTTTATAAAAAAAACCTTTCGGAGGACTTTTAAGGAGAAGAACGAAACACCAGATTGACAACTGAGAGTCCAGCTGCAAAGTCATTGAAGTTGAGAAGAATTTGAAGAATTCAAGGAGATTTGGAGAATATAATTCTTGAGTTTTTCTATCTTTTTTATTATCTTATTTTCTTGATTTTGTATTTAATGTTTAAACTTTTTTCAATGATGATGTGTGACTTGGTGGGCAACCAATTCATTAATCTAAGATTTTGATTGAAATCAATACGTAGTCTAATTTATTTATCTCTCTTTTACTTATGTCGGTAGATTTAAGTTGTTTATTTTATTGTATTCTTAATGCTTCTAGTTGCCTGATCACCAATTAGATTGAATTGGAAATCTAGGTTAAACCTTGACGAAGGAGATTTAGGTAGACTTTGAATAGAATGGCATATGATCAAATGCACTCAGTTGATTAGGTGGTTTGATATATATAGAAGGTAGACATATATTTATAAGTCATACGTAGCCAAAATTAGAGCATGAACTTAATGAATCTGTCTTTTAGTTAATTTGCATGGACATATAATAAATTAATTAAGAGAGATATTTTTACGAAAAACTCGACAAAGACTTGTAAATAATTTAAGACTCTAGATTGGTAACTTAATCTATTAAACTAAGTTAAAAGAGTGAGATAATATTTAGATGAAGTATTGAGGGACATCATAATCTTAGGTCTAAAAGTCAATCAAGTTTAGAAAAGTAACTTTGCTAAGTAAATTTAGAGTAGTTTTAGTTCTTACAAAACTCCAAATGAAGTGATTCTTAGACCACTAGAACACCAAGAGGAAGGGCTACAACTTTTATGTTTACCACTTCACACAGTTTTGATCCAATCATGGCCAAATATTTGTCTAATTTGGAGCGGTATAGTAGTATGCATGGACTGAACATGATACGATATTTGGAGCATATCTCTCACTCAAGAAGTCCAATTGACATGATTCTTGAGCCATTAGAAATTTAAGAGATAGGGCTAAAATGTTCATGTTTATCACTTTACCCATTTCGGATCATATCAAGGTAAACATTGCATTGGACAATGCTCAATAGATGAAGTTTTGCGCAAAGCAGCTAGGCAACTGAGGTTGCAGCGTTGAGCTACTCATGGCCGCAGAGCTGAAGGAACAATCACTACAATGCTAGAAATTTGTGACTACAGCGCTAGCTAGATGGGGGCATCATACAAAAACCTAAGAGCACGGTGTTGCAGCACTAAGGAAATAGTGCTGTGGCGCTACCCGACTTTCCAAAAATAAAAATTTCATGAAATTTTAAAAATTAGGTTACTTAGAACCTATTTAAGGGACCTTTTTTAAAGGTTTAAAAGGCGAGGTAATAAGCAACTATTTTGGAGATTTGAAGCCAAGAACAAAGCATGAAAACAAGAGAATTTGGGAGAGAATTGAGATTGTAAAGCTTCAATAATTAGTTTCTTTTTCTACTTTTGTATTTTTCTTATTTTCTTTGACTTGGACTCATGGTTAAATTTTTTTTAATATTGTTTTTATTAGATATTATGAGTTAAACTATTTTTCTTGGATTGTGGTGGATTTCAACATGTAGTTTTATATTAGTTTCTGTTTTATTTTTCATGAATGGGTATAGTTTTGCTCATTTAAATCTATTCTTAATGCCTTTGATTGTTTGGCCAACAATTAATTAATTTGTAAATCTAATTGAGACTCGACAAAAAGATTTTATATTAGACTAAAGTTTGAATAGTATATGTTCACGTTATTTAAGTGATCTGATTCGCAATTCGGGTAGACATACACCAATTGTCATACATAGTCACATTAGGACACTTAATGAACTTAATTTAATTGATTCTTATATACATATAGTAAATTAATTAAGTTAAGCATTTGTAAAAACAACTCGACGGAGACTTGTTCATAACTTTGGATTCTAGATTAGTAAAACTACCTAGAAAAGATAAAAAAAAGAAAATCTAGTATCAGATAAAATGTTAAATGAAATCATAATCTTATGTTTTTTAATATACTACTTTTTTTCATCTTATTTTGTTTGTTAGTTTATTTAGTATTTATTTTTAATTATTTTTAATTAACTTTTCTTCAACTTTTGGATTACTTAAATAAGATTAATTTGTTTTATAATTTTAGTACAGAATTAATTTATTTTATAATTTTAATATTTAATAAATTTTTAAAAATAAATCTATAAAAATGGTAATCTACATTTATTATTTATAGTATTTGCTCGATACATATATTTACCTGTAGAATTCAACAATATATTTTTGAATTTTATTGCATCTTAAGTTGTCAGAGCTTAGCTTCGTTATTTCCATGGATGCGTCTGTGTCAAGTGAATGAATTGGAAATCACAATAATTTCATGTAATTGTTTGGAAGGGGAGGCAAGCAGAATAAATAATTTCATGTAATTATTTTATTCGCAAATAAAATAATGCTTTTGTCACAAATAATTGCAACGCCTGTAGCCTTGTGAGGCATCGAGCATTGGATGCTTGCCGGTGTTGTCAACTGCATAGCGTGTGCGATAAGCCAGGGTTATTAAAAAGAAAAAATAAATTGCTAAAACCTTTGCACATCAATCAATATTTTATGGGATTTATTAGTCCAAATTTGGTAATCTATTTTTGTTGATGTTGACGAACATAAGGTTTAGAGAAAAAGCTAACGGCTTTTAATCTCTTGTTCTTTTCAGACCTTCAATTACAGCTTTGATTGTTTCGGACAGTGAACACCCTGCTCAAGGGAGTTGAGAAATTAGCAAAGGAAACTATCCAAAAAGAATTGAGATACTTATCATCGTGGATGGGTTTTTGATAACAAATCATTATAGACGGTATTGACTCGAGAAATATTGGGTATTATTAAAAATGATTTTTTCTTTTAATAGAGTATTCAAGTATTTGATTTATTAATTAATTTATAAATTTTTTTATTTAAAAATAAAATTTAAATTTTTTTTCACAACTACAAAAAAAAAAAAAACCTCTCCTTCGGGCAGAGATGACTGATCAATGTCAAATGAGATGACTGACAAACCACTACATTTGAACTGTATGCGTGATAATTCAACCATATACATTTCTTAAGAAGAGAGAAAAACATTATTTCCTAACAAAAGAGACTCCCTCAAATGTCAAGGTGAAGTGTGAGGGTTTTCCTTAACCTTGGTTCAGTTTCTATTTAAATGTTGTTCACTCAATCCTTGAAAGCTTCTCTAATTTTTGATAAGCCTTGGAGGCAAAACAAACCTTGAATTGACTCTCTGATAAAGATTGCTCACCGTTTGATTACGTCTTAAGAAAATTGTTTCTGGACAATTAAGAGCACCATCACAATGTCTAATCCCTCTCTTTGTTTTCTTTCATCATTCTTCCTTGTGTCTTTAGAATTGATCAGTTGGTGATAAGTTAGACTTCTTTGCCTTTTTTAAAGCTGCAATGAATAGGGTATGCTATAACTTGCAAGGTCGGATTAGTCTAATATGTCAAGGCATCCAAGGCTGGGTGAGAAACGAGTAGTCCTAGCAGAAATATCTTGAGAGATCACATTCTACCAGCTTACCACCTCAAGTTATGACTTTTACAGTTAAGAAAGACACCCATCATGGCAAATCCCAAGAAAAAGCCTAAGGAGACACCAACCTTATTATTAGTACTAGCTTTGACTTTACAAACTCTGCTTACTGTATATTTTGCTTCAACAATCCCCTTCAAGATTTGTTACGTCGGTAGAAGGCCCTACAGCAAAACTATGCTTTTACTACTGAACTAAATTGTATTAAATCTGGCAGACTAGGGATAGGTAGCAAGCCTTGTGGTTGTATTATAAAAATTGACTTTCAAACTGAAACTCATTAGATTATGGGCCTCGTTCTTTTTAAATAGAAAAATGTAAATAAAGCAAAGGTTGATGCAGATTCTAGCTAGAGCACTCAGTTTGTGAAGAATCATCCAGTACTAGTTCATTTCAAGCTTCTGTTGAGCCTAGCAGGACTTCTGGTGCAGACTGAAAAATATATTTGGTATCAGCTTCTTTATAAAAAAAAATGGAGGAAGAAAAGAAGCGGTGTCAGAAGAAGGTGATGGTGGCCATAGATGAAAGGGGATGCAGCTATCATGCACTCATGTGGGTGCTCAAAAATCTAAAAGAATCAATCACCAAGTCACCGCTAGTCATCTTTGCTGCACAGCCACTTCCCGAGTATAGGTACTTTACATTTGCAGCAGAGCTTGGCTTCGCTCACATGTACTGTCCGCTGTTAGCCAGTTAAGTTTTCCCTCTCCCTCCTCGTGTTCTCATTCTTTATTACTTTTACATATTCTTCCACTCGTGTAGTTTTATGTAATCTCAGAAATAAACAATGGATGTGAAGTGGAAATCTTATTTGACGATTCAAGGCATATATGCAGCCGCTTATCGAGGTCCAACAAATAATGGAAATCTTTTTTTTTTTTTCACAATTAGCTGCACTTAGATAAAATAAAAACCTTCACCCTGTTATGTTCATGCGGAATCAACAACAGAGAGATTAGACTAATTTGCATTTCTTTCCACTAACATTTTGGATCTGCCCAAGCAAGATGGCGTGAAGGAATTCTAATTGCAGGTCATTGAGATATTTTTTTTACCTAGTTCTATTGAGGTATAAGGAAGTGCCATTGTTTGAAGAATTAATCAGTATAGAATTATGCCTAAGGGTTTGTGCTTCACATTTATTGAATTATTTCTTTGTGAAGGACATCATCAGCCAATATTTACAACCTTAAACCTCTTGTTACAGCCTCAGATTTGGTTGACTCTGTGAAAAAGAAAAATAAGAAAGTGGCGCGCGGTCTCTTGGAGAAAGCTAAAGGCATCTGTGCAAGGCAAGGGGTATGGCCATTAGCTTAACACTTTGGCTGTGGATGGTTGGGGCATTCATGGTTCATGCAGAGGGGATAAACTTTGGTTATTTTTGCCTTTGGCAGGTAAAAGTAGAGACAGTTACAGAGGTTGGGGATCCTAAAGAGACGATATGCAATGCAGTTGAGAAATACGAAATCAGTTTACTAGTGGTAGGCGACCAAGCTAATGGAATTCTCCAAAGGTTAGTTTCCCCTCTGATCTGAATCAAACTTCAATTAATCTATTCAATAATACTTAATTCTTCCAAGGACTGATTAACTACTAGAATTCTTACCCTCATTATATTTTGAGAAATTCAAGGTGAATATATACAAAGATTAGTGGAGCACTAAAATGAACTTCATCATGATACAGGGCTTTTCAAGAGAGCTTAAGCAGCTATTGTTTGAAGAATGCCAAGTGCCCTGTTCTTGTCGTAAATGAATCTGTTATACCAAAATAAGATTTACATCAACATGTTTGTTATTATGCTGTATGCAAATTAAACGAAGTAGCTGAACTTTCTTTTTAATAGATTATAAAATGTTGCGTATTCAAGACCGGCTAAGCATTTGTCTATTACTTTTTTACAGACATGCATTAAATTCATGAAAGAGGAAATTGTGAGAAATGATCAACATTATAAGATTATTTCAAAAATAACCCCTAATATAAAGTTAATTAGTTTTATCCAATTTTTGTCATGACTTGACAAAATGCCCTCGAAGTCACTTCAGACAAATTAAACTATTTATTAGAAGTTTCCTTCCCAATTTCTGTCTCCAACATTCGTTTACTATGATTCCAATGTCTCTCTCTCGTTATCCAACTCTCTAATTTTATTGATTTTTCTCTCACATTCATCTATTGTGTTCTCAATTTCTCTTTTTCGCCATCCAGCTCTCTTTAATTTTGCCACCATCGCCATCTCTCTTTGTCTATTTCTTGCCATATCATCGTATACCTACAGACCAAAGAGCAAATTTGACATCAATGTATGTCTTTGGATTTATTGGTTTACATTCATGGAATCCCTAAGTTGATAGGTTAAAGTTATATAAGTAAAATCTGTAAATTAAAACACTGCCCAGAGCTATTACACGTCATGTCTACGTGTAACAGCTCTAATACAATTAGCATGTAACAAATATATTGAATATAGCACGGTTCAAACATGACATATAACTAAATCTCTATCTTTCTATTTCACTATGACATAAACTCTTGGAGTTAAATACCTTAAATATGACGTATAACAAAATGGCATGTAACTTGGTCTCTACCTTTGTATGTTACTAAGACATAAACTTTTAGAGTTAAATACCTTTAGCATGACATGTAACAATTTTTTTTCCTTCAAAATGGCGTGAAATAACTTTTTTGGCACATGGCATGTAACAACAATACTTTTTAAATATGGTGTGTAACTTGGTCTTTATCTTTGTATTTCATTAGGACAAAAACTCTTAGAGTTCAATACCTTAAACATGGTGTATAATAACTTTTTTTTCAATATGACGTATAACAACTTTTTTCTTTTAACATGGTGTGTAACTTGGTCTCTATTTTTGTATTTCACTAGGATATAAACTCTTGGACTTAAACATTTTAAACATGGTATGTAATAATTTTTTTTTCAACATAGAGTGTAACAATATTATTTTGAATATGGCATGTAACAATATTATTTTTTAAACATGAAGTGTAACTTGGTCTCTGGCTTTGTATTTAACTAGAACATAAACTCTTGGAGTTAAACACCTCAAACATGACGTGTAACAACATTTTTTTCAACAAGTGTGCTTGAATATTAGGAGATTTCATTAAGGATAATTTTGTCTAAAAATATTTTTTCTTAGTTAAAAATCGTTAAAATTGAAAAGAGTGTTATTTTCAAAAATACCTTAACTTTGAAGACCTAAAAAAATTGTCCTTTGATAAAATCAATTTGGCCTTTCACTATGTCTATTAAAAGACAGCGAATAGGCAAAGAACACGAAACTACAATGCACAAGAGAACTTTTTGTTTCTTTAGTTATTATTTTGGCATTAAACTTATGTAATTCGGTAGTTTAGCCTTCAAATTTGTTATAGCTAAACTTCTATACTTTTACATTTATTTTATATGAAATTTTTTATTATTTTATGATTTGTTTACTATCATTTAAATTGTTTTTTATTATTTTATTTTTTGGCTAACAACTTTTTAATAAATAATGCAATGTCAATAGAAAAAAATGATTAGCATTTGTTAAGGGTATTTTACGATTAATTAGATGGTTGAATGCTTCTTAATAGCATCTAGGAAAGTTTTTTACCCATTCAACTAATACATCTAAAGTTTCCATTGTACATTTGACTATATGATCTTACTAGATTTGCCTCACTATCACAATCGATAGAACTTGGAGAAATTGGTTTGGGCTATAAGGATACACCATAGACTAAGTTTCTTAGCCATTCAACTTCTTTGTTGGCAGCAACAAATGCAATAAATTTAGTTACTATGATGGAATTCATTATGCATATTTGTTTCTTGGATAGCAAAGAAAGTAGCACTCTCATAATATCCATCCACCTATTGAAGCATGATATTTGAAACTTGTAAGCCAATTAGCATATGAATAGCCTTCTAGCACATATGGATATCCATTATAGCAAACTAAAGTACATAATTGATATTCAATGCAAGTTACATATTTTTTTGTGTGTATATACTTAATTTTCCAACAACAAATGCTATATCTGGCCTTGTACACATTATTGTGCATTGGACAACCAATTACTCTTGCATCTTGCAATTGATCAATCATCATACCAAGAGTAAATACTAATTTAATTTGAGGATCCATGAGTGGATGCTAGTATGCAATCGCTATTATCAAACCTTTTGAACACTCTCTCAAGGTAATGTGATCGTGACAAAATTATGCCATTTTTCATTCTAGAATATTTTAATTCCAAAGATTACATTTTTTACAAACATAGTTTTCACTACAAAATTATTTGATAAAAATTTTTGTGTCCTTCACTTTTTCCAAATCAGTGGTTTAACATCTCATCCACATATAACCAAATTATAACTCTTTTATCATTTTGGCATTTGCTATATACGCACTTATTAGACTCATTTATATTGTAGCCATTGGTTAAAACAACATCATCAATTTTTGATCCCATTGTTTTAGTACTTGTTTAAGCCCAAACAACGATTTGACAAATTTACAAATCTTATACTTTTGTCTCGAAATAGTTAACCCTTCTAGTTTTTCTATGTGAACTTCCTTTTCTAATTCACTATTTAAAAACATTGTTTTGATATCCATTTGGTGAATTACCTACTTATAAGTTGATGCAAGTGAAATTAGAACTCTAATTGCAACAATTCTAGCTACTAGAGCATAAGTGTCAAAGTAGTCAATTCTTTACTTTTATGTACTAACCTTGCTTTAAACTTGTCTACGGTTCGATCAAATTTCATTTTCTATTTTGAAAATCTATTTACAACCTATTCGTTTTAGAAATTGGTGGAAGATCAACCAAAATCCAAGTATTGTTCCCCATCATTGAGTCCATTTCCTCATTGTTTGCATCCTTCCAAAATGCAGACTCTTGAAACTTCATTACCTGGTCATATGTAACTAAGTTCGATTCCAAATGAAAACAATAAGGAATTTTATTTTATATATTTTCTCACGTCTCTTCCACCCGAAACATTTAGAAATCTGGTCCAAAGTCTTTTTCCTTTCTAACCCTTTTACTTTCCTTATTTCTAGACAAGATTCATCATTATTTTCATTTTGTTGCAATGGAAAATCATTTGATTGAACTAATTGTTCTAGTTGTAGTTGTCTTGAACTAGATTTGAATCTATTTTCATAAAAAAATGAATCTCTTGATTCAAAACAGTATTGATTGAAATTGAATCATTTGATTCAATTACCATTAACCTATATGTATGACTATGTTGTGCATATCCTATATGGAAATGTGTTCTATTCTTATGTCACCCAATTTTTTTGTTTTCAGCTTCGAAACTTTAACTACAATTCTACATCCCCAAACCTTCAAATAATAAGTTTTGATTTCTTTTTCTTCCATTGCTCATATTTGGTTATCTTAGTTTTCTTTTTAAAAACCCTATTTAATATGTGACAAGTTGTTAATAAAGCTTGACCCTGAAAACCTCATCCAATACCAGAATATGATAACACAATAATTGCCGTTTTAGTCAAGATTATATTTTTCATTTCTACCACAATAAAATAAAATGGTGTGTAAGGTGCTGAAGTTAAATAGACTTAGTGGAGTCAAAAGAATTTGGATTATAGTATTCTCCACCTCTATTCGAACTCAATTCTTTAGGTAATCTGTAAACCTTATATGATTGAGATTCAACTTTAAATCCCTCTAATTGCTCAACATAGATCTCTTCTTACAGTGTACCATTTAAAAAGGCATATTTCATGTCTAAGTGATACACCTCCCATCCAAATGCAATTGATAATGCAATAATAGTCGAATGCTTTCAAAACAAGCTACAAGAGCAAAGGTTTATAGAAAATCAACACCTGAAAGCTATGAGTACCCTTTGGCAACAAGTCTTGCTTTGCACTTGATCAAAGTACTAGCTAAGTTAAACTTCTTCTTGAAGATCCATTTAACTCCTATTACATGGTGTGTTATAGGGCTATCAACAAGTGACCATGTGTTATTTGTATTTATTATGTTAATCTCTTTTTGCATTGCAACTCTTCATTCTTTATATTCTGTTATTGCTTGGTATGTGTCAGGTTCAGTTTTAGCAACTAAACATCTGTGATAAATATCATCAAGACTTCAAGTGCCTTTGACTAAATAGTCTTCATCATCATTTGCATTTTGGTCTATAGTATGTTAGTCAATATTAGTTTGTTGATGAGTCTCAATACTGAATATTGATGATAACCTTTCTGGTTCATTTGCATATTAGTCCCATTTAGAGTTTTCATCAAATACAACATTTCTTGTGACCACTACCTTATCAGATCTCACCAGGTAATCCCTATATCCATTTGATTGATCACTATAAGTAATAAACACTTTTACTTCTAATCTATGTTGTAATTTGTCCCTCTAATGTTCATGGATTTGATGATAACAGAGACATCTAAACAGTTTGAGATAATCAACAACAGGCTTGTCACCATGTCAAGATTCATATGGAGTTTTCCCTATTAGAGCTCTTGTTGGTAGCCTATTCAACAAGTTTACAACAATATTAGAAGCTTCTGCCTAGAACTTTTTTAAAAATTCCTTTTCAAATAGAAGGCATTTTCTCATGTCAAGTATTGGCTTATTTTTCCTTTCACTTACTCCATTTTGTTGAAGTGGGAAAGGAACCATAAGCTAATGACGAATCCTTTCATCCTCAAAATAATTCTTGAATTTTGATGAAGTAAATTTCTCACCATTGTTTGATCTTATACTTTTTAGCTTTAAACCAAACTCAGTTTCAACTTTTTCCTTGAATCTAACAAATGTCTCAAAAACTTCAAACTTGAATTTGAGAAAATAAA